AAGGGTCGTTATACTCTAAGTATGCACATAGTCAATGTCGCTGGAAGGCGATGATTTCTATGACTACAAATGTGGTTTAAAGCAGCACCAGTGTTGAGCGATCGCGTGCTGCGTTTGGTGATGATACACATACAAAAATAACCGTCTTTGAGTGGTTGCGGAATTCAAGGGTGGCAAGCAGTCCCTGGATGAGGAACGGTGTGGTCGACCTGTGGAGGCCAACACCGTGGACAACATTGCTGCTGTGCAAGCGATGCTGGAGGAGGGTGCGCTGGTGACTGTGGCACAGCTGGGGAAAGGCATCGGGATCTCATCGAGATCAATCGTCGTGGGACAACTCCGAATTTTACGTGCAATGAGGCATGTAGACGTACTGCACCAACGCTTCGATAGCAAGTGAACATCGGTAGTCACGCGCAGGACTTTGCGGGCGAACGAAATCCACGACGAAGTATGACACGCCATCAAGTCGGCCAATCAGAACTTCGGGACCCGAACGGCAAGAAACATGAATTAGCAAGAGAAAGGCTTAAAAACCTAGCCCTTAACCTTGTATAAGAAAGTGCTCACTGCTCATATGCAAAAAAGATCGATTGCCTAACGCTCTTCCAGACATATGCATGGACCATATGTAAATAGGCAAGACGGCCACGTGCTGGAGGAGCAACGGTTGCGCCAATCCTTGATTCCTTTTAAAGGCGGAAGCTATTCTCGGATTTTTTTCAAACCGTCATGGTTAGAATATGCTCAGTAGTAGTGTCACATCAGTTAGTCATACCAATGAGCAGGTTACTTCGCGTAGTAACAAAGCTCGCGAAGCTTTGGTGGTGAAAAGTAGAGCCTGTGATGCCGCGATAACACCGGTATTATTGTATGGATCAGAGACTTGTCTTGTTAACAGTGAAGACTACATTCTCGGCCGTGTTTGACTACCGGTGTTTGCGGACTATACCTCACGTATGGTGATAACACCCGGTGAGCAGTGCTGAGGTCTACCAGTTAGTTTTAGCAAGAAGCCTTCTGGTGCCTCAATGGAGTGATTATTGTATCTTAACCTCTTACGCTGCCTTGATCATACCCACCGTATGCACGCTGAAGGATTTCTTCGGCGTGCATCACCATCATGATACACGTCTAGCTCTAGGTAGGAAACACCTGAGCTATTGTGTAATACATGAGAAAGGAAAAAAGCGCAACAGGCACGCTAGCCGAGCCGCCAGTAACAGATGGACATCGTTCCAGAGAGCTGGCAGACGACCATCGTGCCGCAAAAAAGTTGTATTATGCACCAGAAATAATATCGTGGTTGGAAGGGGAGGCAAAAAACGGGATGAGGAGGGAGGAAGAAACTCACGAAAGATACGATAATGAAATCGGCTCCTAGCCATGTCAACAAGTGTATCCAATCAAACGCGTTCAACGTCTTTCGGACCAGGGAGCCGAGGCTCCAACCGAGGTGAAGTTTGAAATGAGGGCCTTTCTCGACGCGCACTATACACCATTGTTGGAACAAGTTGGCAAAACTAAAAGGTGGCCGGTCAACGACGAGGCATATATATATGGAGAAAACGATTGAGACTTAGTCAGGCCTGCGCGTACCATCTTCCTGGACGGAGATTTTGGGATGGTCCATACCAGTGATTGCAGACTCAATCGAACATGGCGCAGTCGCCCAGCCAGTGCCGTTCCGTATTCGGTTTCTTGCACCTAACTGTTAATTTTCCTCTTGATTTAATTTCCCGTTACAGCTTTTTGTTACCGTTTCACTGTCATTATGGCAACGTGAGTCGTGACAATTGGATCCACCGGATTTCGGTGCCCGGATCATAGTCAAATCAACGGAACTGACCTGGAAGTCATGAGTTAAAGCAGAATATTCTGTTGTATCAGAAGAAGAGGGTGAAATGATTCCTACAAAGTCAAGGTGAACATTTAAGTCTCTTGAAAGCGTCCTTTGGTTACTCGCAGCCTGGAGGGTATAGTACCAAAGTCAACCAATACATGGGCTAGAACAAACCAAACCAACTCACTAGCTAGACTATCTGGGATGTGAAAAGTCCCGAGTTACCAGTACTGCAAGTGATCAGGCTAAACTAATACACACAAAAGTCAGGAATATTCCACGGAGATAAAGCCGACTGCTCACAAGAAATAATGGAGGCTTACGGGATGAGCCAAAAAGCTGGGTCGGTAAACGGATGTCGGTTGTCCCGTTCACGGACTATTGACAGGAGACGGAGGCACAAGCTGAACAGACAGGGTGAGTCTGTTGTTCCGTTCGGAATACTGGTGTCTACTTTCTCTGGAGTGGTAGATGGCTTAGATTTGGTTACGCAACCGCGAGGAGTCCGGCTCTCGATCAAGGTGGAGGCTAAAATGTGAAATCATAGAACCTAAGCAATGTCAAAAGGAGCAAATACACCTGGTTACATGTGTGAGGTCGACTGATGAGTCAATTAATATACAACTTACGATCTGGAACGGCCAGAGTGGTTTCGTAGATGAGGTGATTGAAGAAGGTGCCAATCGAGCAGAGTTCATCCAGAGTGAATGATTTTTGCAATTCGAACAACTCCACATCGTCTAAGATGCTGAAAAGGTGTAGGAAATGCGGGGGTGTAGATTTCGATCCGCAGGAACGAAAATCAAAGGGTAACCAGGCAGTAAGGAGATCATAAAGCAACATATGGAGGGAGAAAGAGAACCGCGAAGCTAACCATAATAATTAGCAAAGTTAGTTTCCATTCCAGCGTCATGTCATAGTTGTGCCCCCAGAATCCAACAACACTCAGGAAATCGGGAAACTCCTTGATAAGCGGGAGTCGGTATCGAAAGAACTTTGCGATAGAGCCTTGACAAAGCTTAATATCAAGTTAGAATGTAAATAGAAGGCAAAAGGCGCACAAACAACGATGAGCACAAGCGCCTAACATGAGCAGAATAGATAAAAATGGAAATTTTAAAAAATATATTATCCACGTAAAGCACACATCACAATCCACAAAGTAGACACACGCGCGCACGCACACTGCACCAAAGCACAACCAAGTATACATGTTGGCAGTCGTCAAGACCAATCCAAACGCGAAGAGATGGGCTGATGTGATGCTTAATTGCACGTTATTCACTTTAGTCATTCGACATAATCATGTGCGAACATAGGACGTTAGATACACGGTCGCAGAATGGACCATTCGCAATTGAGAGCGTCAAACATTCGATCAATCACAAAGGCGAAATGTACTTGTTTAGAAGCGTAAGTCAAGAAAACAAAAGCTTTAAAAACCCGTGTGTTCATTTTCAAAATTTACTGGATTAATGAAAGGTAATGTCAATACATTAATTAGGTGAGAAAAAATGAAAAATAGACAACTGTTACTCAAACAACAGCTAGCGCAGCACGTTTATGACTTACGCTGAGTCAAGAAGCCAAGGATAGTAGCGACATACGATACGATAAAATAGAAGATTAAATGTTGAAAGCATTTTTGGAAGGTCACTGTACGGCGGATGAAATGGGTCACTTAAGACCAAAAAATAATACAGACATCATGACGACTAAAACTGGTCAAATTAACTAGATAATTTCTAGACAAACAGCAGAAGCAGCTACAAAGATACTTTATAGATCGTACCAATAAGATGTAGTCTTTCTGAAGCATTCCAGTGGAATTAGTGTATAGCTAGTGAGGAGTACAATGAGGGATAATGCAAGAGGTCACAAATTTGAATTAAGATTAAAAGTATGGGATGTTGAAGGCACCTTAAGTCTGACGGCGCAAAAAGAAAGTTTAATCCCTTTATGAAACGTTACACAAACGTGTGACAAAAATAGTAATACTTGACGATGGATGATCTGGGTATGAGATTGGCGCTCACAGTCAAGGTGGGGGAGATATCTAAAAAAGACCGCGACAATCGCCATCAAATTTGGAACCGTTGAGGATAAGGCATATGAATGAAGACCATTCCACTAGAAGAAAACCGTCAGCCGTACGCCGTAACGGCGCTTCGCCGTCGCACGACCATCATAAGTCGCGCGTGGGCTGAGTATACCGCGAGGACGCCCGCCCTTACGCGGATTCGAAGCGGTGACTGCAGGCCAGACGTGCAGACCACTCGGCCACCAGCCGATGAGAAAATTTGAACAGTGGGGGCCATACACCCAAGCACAACATCGTCATCATATTTGCATCCAATAAACGTGAGTTGTATAGGGAGGTGTTCAACATAAAAGGAGAAGAAATAAACGGATGGGATCGTTCGATGCACAACACCATAATAGGTACGGAGAACTGGGGGTTTCTTATCGTTTAAGTGAGTAACTTGAGTACGATACATAAAGTAGTCGCGTAGCAGATTATACACGCTCGGGTGAACTCCGTTCTCGGATAGCAGATAGAGAAAAATTGACCTATCCAGGATTCCGAATAAGCAAGAAAAAGAAACCGTACGAATTTGCATCTTTGGTCTAGTGTAGACACCATAGAATGAACAAGATATGCCACCGCATCCAATATAGAGTGATGGGATTGATATGCGAATTGATAGATATCGTCAACAGTAGTAGTTGTGAAAATCCGCTAAATTGAGTTTTTCGAAAATGTTCAGTTGCACAGATGTACATCCAATCTGGCGACACTAAAGTGATACATTTTTGGCACCGGGGTTATTATGGTCCATCTCCAAATATCTGGCATCACACGCATTGTGAGGCATTTGTTTGTGATTCGAGAGAATCAGTACACTCTATCAAAACGGCTGGAAAAAGAGTATCCAGACCATTGCCTTTGTATGACTTTAGTCTTTTGAGTTTCCTGTGAACAGTCTCTGCTGAAGGGTGCAGTTGGACTTGAAATGATGAAGAAGAACCAAGCGGAATGCATTTGATGAGGCAGAGTTGAAATGAGCATCTAGTTTGTCCGCATCCGTCTCTCCGTTCTGGGTGCAGGCGCTTTTACCACAGATCAATTTCAACAACATCAACAGATTTAATTGACGAAATCAGGCTCTTGACAAAAGCAACTGCTTTCCAAGTATAATCGCTTTCTATATCCCTCGAATTGGCTTCAGTAGTGATAATTAAGATCAGGCATTCAGGTAAATCGCTTCAACAGAACAACAGTAGATAAAGCAATAGTTAGTGTAGTCTAGAAGATGGTTGCATTGAACTGACAAACCCTCGCCGTTGAAGACTGAAAAATCCGTTAGGGACAACATCGACTGGAGCAGAGTGAAAGTTTCAACAGTGAGGTTTCGCTGCTGGATGGTCTTGAAAGGACATATAGTTGATGTGACAAAACTGGCTCTACTGTATAGGACAGGATACAGTTGTAAAACGCATGGGGCTGAGCTGCTTACGGAACCCCGTGATGGGAGGAAAACAACTTCATTTTGTTTATGTAAACAGCGTCCAGCTGCCTGTCTTCAGTAACAATGCACATAAAACAATCTAGTTTCCGTAGTGTCTTTGAAGAAACTTGGTTTTCAAATAGCTTTAATTCTGATGCAGATGTGTCATGAGCTAGGTAAGAACTTGGCTCGGGAACAACCAAATGCCAAATGATAGTGGTCGTTGAGTATATGAATAGTACGGTTGTTGAGTTGCACCAAGGTACCACATCTTGAAAAATGCCTGGAAGCGATCGAGAAATCATGATTACAGAAGAGTTTTAAAACAAACGGTTGATGTAGCTGGAAGGTAGCGCTTCGCCAGACTAAATGCTAACGCCTTCACCAAAAATTCAAATTTCCAGTTTCGATCAAACTTGCCGGGAAATCAGTTATGGAGTTCAGTAATTCCACTTTCCACATAGAACCAAGTTTTGTGTTTCAGTATGATACTTGTATTTGCACGCACTTCGCAGCATAATGGCATTGAGAGTAACAGTGGTATAAAAGAACTGGCGCACATTACTGGAAATTATAAGTAGGACTTGCGCTTTACCGATAGATCAGCGACTGAGGCCAGATTATTAACCAGCACGTTTGCACTTGTTTCAAAAATGTTTCTTCATAATTCGTTTAAAGGTGTTCTAGACTTGATGACCATATTCGATGAAGCGCGGATTTCGGGTATCACCACGTGACGTTTATAGTAGGTTGACGGAGTAGGTAGCGTAGTGCAGAAAAACAAAATGTCTCAAAGATTCAAATGAAACGTAAAACCTGCAGTCGGTGGCGCTGAAAGACTTGCAAAAACAGCAAATGCCAATTTTAAAGGTAGCGTCAAGGAATTAGTGCACTATCAAGTCACCGTGGAACAGTTATAGCCAAACTGGGAGATCCATATTTCTCTGTTCATGCCGACAGCCTTAATCTTATTCTGGTCGACAAAACTCACAAGCAGCCGTCCTATGCATCTATCATCATCATTGTACTTGCGAGTATTGGGCGGGCTAAATGAAGTTTAACTGAGAAGACTTTAGAGTATAGCTTGTGAGAACCAGCAGACAAGAAGTCGAGGCTGTCAGTTTATTCAGCTTGTCGTCACATACCCGAGTATGTCACATGTGAGTATTTGGATATATTGCTTAGAAAAATTGAAAAATAAGCACTGGCAGCCCGTTTAAAATATCCAAAAGTTTGGAGGACAGACAGGAAAAGTAATGTGAGTGAAAACTGTTCCACTGGCGACCAGAGTGTATGTCATCATTTTAGGTGTACAAAAATGTGCCAATAAACAACTTGTTGACCAGTAAAAAGAGATCACCATTTTTAACACTTGCGTCGCTGTAAAAGAGAAAATGAATGCGAGTAGAACCCGGTCAAAAAAGTCACGCTTCTCCGTGAGGTGTGGTGGGAGCACGCAGCGTACCTGGTCTAATTGTCTTCTGGTTGCAGCAAAAGTACACTAGGAAAAAATGAGCAGTATGAAGCACAAATTAAGCCCTGTTCCGTTCACTAGGACATGGCACTATGAAAGTTCACGCAGCAAAGGATGCAGGGATGGAAATGAGAGCCATACATTGTTCATTCATTGGTAGAAATGTGGGAATCAGCTTAACAAAGACTGACATCAAACTAATTCGATATGGCAACTCAACAGCGTCAAACAGTAAAACAGAAAATCATGAGCAAAACTGATGTTGATAGTCGGCATCGATGTAAGGACCATGAGAGCGGACCTCACCTGAGAAGATTGCTGGCAGACGCAGTGAACAACTGAAGTAAATGGGAGGCGTGAGGGTCGATTTGCCAGCTAGGTTTCGAGTCGAGCACAATACGCACCCACGCTCTGACATCGCCACAGCGTGCGATCAGACGCCACATACGCGGCATGAGGTCACCGAGCGACAGACCTGAAGGAATGAAAGACTATTAATGCAACGAAATCGAGGTGAATAAATTGGTACAGTGTTGGGTCTGAATGAGAAAAAGAAACGGAATTTGACCTTCTATTATAGGATCTTTGGATGACACAAGCAACGTCAACTAGCAATAGCCGCTGTGATAATCTTACGAGCAGTGTTTACAGGGCTGGATAAGCGACATACTGATGCAAAGAACTCGGACATGCTTTGGGGACTAAACTGCAGTGCGCCCAGATGAAGTGTGAGGGGAGACTGTACTGCTGTTACATCAGCATGACGCCTCGCCCACTTCATAACTAACGTTGTATTCCTTCAGAATGGATTATACATAAGGACGAATACCGCTCCAGAAATTGGATTAATACTATCCAAAGCACCATCAGAATTTAATAAAGAACAAGGCTATGACAAATAGAGGGCGATCAAAATGTAAGCATCAGCATCAATCTAGTAATCTTCAGCCTTCATCCAGTTCAGAAAGCCTGATATGCTCGTAATCGTAGAGCGGAAAGATTGGAAACAAATGAACCACGTATGATTGTCAAATGCAGTATTCGCAGAGCAGCAAACTACCCTTCTTTGAGGAAAGAAGCTTAGTAATAGGATATTTAAAAGACTAAGAGCATATAATACCAAATGTCGGAGCACCTGCTGTGTGTTTGAAATGTGACACAAATCTCAATTGGGATCTCGGTTTACACAGAAGTAGACGTCGGTTACTCCAACCACCGTTGGGAGCGGGTAACAAAGAACAGAGCAGCTGTATTGAACCATCAAATGGCCATCAGAGAAGATTTATGTGGCTTGAAAATAGAGTAGAATGTATATGGGGCTATCCTACACTGAGAAGCATGTGCGTTCAACTGCGTCAAACGCAGTTTTCTAGCCAAGATCTCCACAGTAGACCATATGAGTGAACAGGGCTCTCTAAATCGCAAACCTTATCCCTGTCAGTGAGGAAGACGACCAGAAGCGATATCACTTGGATCACAAAAGCGTCTGCAGACATCACCAGACGATCAGTGCTAGCGGATTTCCGTGTGACAGGAATAAGAATATCTCGAAAAACGTTTACTGATCATTTATAAAGACAGTTGTAAGCTGCTGAGCAATAAGGTTTACCGAAGTCCGTGATTCGGTGAACCAGTATGGTTAAGCGTTACAAGTTTCACGAGTCACTATGAGCCAACCGAGAATGATGAGCTGTATGTGACTCAACCACAAACAAACTGTTGCTAAGACTAGTCTCGGTGAGTTTACGAAGGAAGTGGTGGGGGAGCAACACCGAAACACTTAGATTTCGAATACGGTACCGCGATCGGATTGACCGAGGTCTACTTCAAACTGAATCGAGGTCTCAATAGTGATTGCGTGTCGCAATCCGAGCACACAGCAAGATATTACAAATTTAACTCGGAATACCTAAAGTTGTTCCAAGTGTTGCTCATGGATTTTAGTTGCATAGTGATTAAGGCGCCAGCCGTGAAAACCTAGGCCCCGAGTTTCACCCCAGCACAGGCTATCTCCATCTGATGGGTTCAAGTCAGGGTGAAAACAATCATTGGGTGTCACTGTTGTGATGGGTAACAACGATTCACCATCATTTCAGCTATAGTTCTTGTGATCTGAATGACCGAGGTCTACCTCAGAGTGAACCGAGGTCTCAATAGAGGTTGCGTGTCGTAATCCAATTACAGGGCGGATACTCCAAATCCAAATTTGAATTTCTTACAGCTGTGCCAAGCGTCGTACACGGATCGCAGTGGCATAGTTATGAAGATGTGGGCAGTTAACCACTAGGCCCCGAGTTCAATCCCAGCTCAGACTATCTCCACCTGGTGAATAAAAGGTGGGGTGTCAGTATTGGGAGGAGAAACATCGAATCATCTGCATGAAAGTTAAATTATACCTATGCGTATACAGGAGAAGGGTTTCAAAAAATCGTCAGTTGTGACAGTCAGATGAGCTACGACGCTCAATGAGTGACTGAGGTAAAGGCGATTAGTGCACCGAACAATGCGGGAAGTAAGCGAAGTGTCGAGAGTTTAAAAGGTCTGTTGCAACTATATGCATTTAGAAACCCCAAGCATGTGGGTTCATCAACAGGACACAGCTAGCTCACACAGGGAGGGTAGGTAAGGCAAACTAAGGAAAACGTTCATAGTGAGATCAATGAAGTCAGGAGATATAACAGAGTGGGTTAAACGTCGAATTTCTGTTATGGATGGTTAACTCCCAACTAACAAGGCACTCATGTAGTGAGTTGGAACAACTGATCAGTTCCCACTTCCAATATTTGACTCAAATGTCATTAATCGTACAACGGCGGGAAACGTTGAGGTGGATTTTGGTATACAGCTGGAATGTTCAATCAAAGGCTAAGACTCCTAAAGTAGTGGGAGCAACTACGACAGCTCACTGAAATCTGCTAGAGACTGATCTTAAACGATTGCTGGAGATTTCGATGGTTGACGTTATCGCACATGTATACACCTCCGACTGGCTAGCGTACATGGGTCGCGTTAAC